GTAAGACTGCCCTTGCTCACCAAGCCTGGCTCCAACCTCAGTTCTTTCATCTCTGTTGCTATCTGTTCTGCCTCATCCCCCTCCTTCAGCACGATTGATTATTCTAGCTAGGAAGCAAGGCACTGAGCTCAGGACAAGCAGAAAGAACTTAACTAAAAACCAAAGACTGGGCGTTTCATGATTAAAAATGGGGAAAAATCCAGCCTCACAATTCGACAAAATTAAAAACAACGCTCAAGGCTCACCACGCCACTGTTAAAGAAAACGCTGTCCTGTATTTAGCCAACCTTAATTGGTCTTAATTAAATCAGATGGCTCATAGCTTTGTTTATTTTGGCTTGATTGTTGAGGCCAAGAACCACGTCTGATCTACTAATTTTGTAGAGTTCTCAGCAAACACTCTGCTCACAGCGGCTTTTAATCGATTAAGACAATGAACATGTCTGTGTGCACATTAGATTCAAATTTAGGTGTTGGCTCTATCTAAGCTGTCAGGTAAGTGACTTAAATTGAGTTCTCTCTCTCCAGTAAATGGATGTAACAGTAACACCCGCACAAATGAGCAAGAACACCTATACAAAGTGCTTCACAGAACCGTACAACACCATATGAGGTGCAATGAGTAGTCCTGAGATAAGCTTTCTCCAGGAGCAAGCCCTATAAACCTGAGCACAGCTGTAGATATTCCCCAGGAAAATTTATGTTTGGCATGCAAAACCATAAACAGTTCTTAAGAGGTAGGAGGGGAGAAAGGAAAGAGAGGCCAGATTGGGAGAGGGGATGAGGAAACCGCAAAGGAAAGCTGTTGTAATAAAGTAACAGAAGAGAGAGCAAGCCTGGGTCTTAGCCATCACTATCAAACTCTATCCCCCCATTCCTGGCCAACTCACCTCACCTTACTAATAAAACTTCAATTTCCTCAATAATCCACTAGGCTCCCGTGCGTACCCAGTTAGACTGTATATCCACACCGTTTTTTATGTTACTGAGGACTCTGTCCGTACGTACTAAGTAGCACGTTACACAGTAATTGAGGAACTAGACATCCACTTGGGAAAAACCGAGCGAAGTCTGTGTAAGAGAACACTCAGACAGCTCTGAACCGAGTCTACGGATCACACGGGGAGACAGTTTTGACCAGACTACTGAGGACTGCTGAGAACCATGGGCTAAACCCCAAGTCACCAAAGCATCAGCCCTGGTGGCTCCTGCACATGGGCACGAGACTCTACCAAGAGGGGTGGGCGTGTCAGCGTCTACAGGGGCTTCTCTGCTCCACACTTTCACAGACACAGTAAAAGCTGCGACCCACAGCAAAGGCTGCGATTGGACGTGGCAAAAATAGCTGGCATCAGCAATGCGCAGTCACCTGGGTGCTGCCCTCTTCTGACCGGAAGGCTTTCTGCACTGGATCTGGGGGCAGGGGCTCCAGAAACCAGAAGAGGAGGGGATACATTCTGAATCAAATACAAAGGTAGTGAATAACTGGGGAGGAAGGAAGACGGATTACTCCAGGGAGAGTCAGGAGCTAGCTGAAGAATGTAAAAGGGAGAGGAGAGATGGCAGGACGGCAGGAGGGTCAACGGGGTCAAAGGACATTATATGTATTATGAAAATGCCACAATGGAACCTCTTATTTTGCACAATATACATTTAAACTAAGCTTCTAACAAGTTCAGGTTCCCCCAGGCAACTAGCAAGGCATGAGATCTGCTCAGTCACGCACAGGTCTGTGTGCACTCAGAGCACCAGGCGGCCTGGAACTGTCAAGGTCGTCCCTAAGACTGTGCAGAGGTCGTCTAGGAGGCCAGCATTATAAATGCCTCAGCGCTTCTCAGGCAGGAAAAGATGTTCTCCAAATTTTCATTCGCCCGGAGGGGGCTTGCTTTCCCTTTGACAGAAGAACTGACGCCCCATCACCCCAAGAAGCTTTCTAACCAAACCTGTACTTAGAGATCCCTGTAAACCTTGTCAACTATAAAGTGGACTTAAAAGCATCCCTGTGAAATTTTGGACCAGTGATCAGGAAGCTGCTGTCAAAGGGACAAATAACTGAAAAGGCCAGACAAGGAATGCGACCTGCACAAGCGTGCTCAGAGACGTGCGGCTATGTAAACACTGCACACGTGAAATCAGTAAGAACGGATGACAAACGGAAATGGCGATTGAAGCCGTGCTAACCGATTATTGCTGCATCTTCGTCCTGTTTTGTGAACTTTAAATATTGACAGCTCTGCGCCTCTCCCCCATTCAAGCTCACGAACCGTTATAGACTGGCTTGGGAAGCCTATCCCATTCAGCCAAGAGAACACCACTTCCTCCACTGGCTTGTGGACTGGCCCCTGGACCTCTCTGTAACAAGCAGTCATAGCAAGGAAGAAAGTGAAGAGCCTGGATCGCACTGGACATTTGAGAAATGCAGGCAGGACTCACCACCGCTCACTCATATACACCATTTTACTGTGACTGCATCTCCAGTTAATCAGCAACAAACATTCAGCCTGGAAATTCATAAAGCCAGACACTATTCTTTCAGCACGCGTTTACCTAGCACACCTGTATGAAGCACAGTGCCTACCACAACACCTGTGACTTCACGGTTCCAGAGACCTTACACGGCACCCCAAATGTTTAGCGTCCACAGCTGAACTAAATTATCAAAAGTCTCCCTCAATGGTTACAACTAATTAGCACCAGAAGCATCCTTCAAATGTGGGCTAACATATTTCCCCTGTCAAAAATAACATGCTGAGTGTGGTGGTGCATACCTTTAATCCTAGCACCAGGAGGCAGAGGCAGGCGGATTGCTGTGAGTTAGAGCCAGCCTGGTCTACAGAGTGAGTCCCAGGACAGCCCGGAACTACACAGCTACACAGTGAGACCCTGTCTGAAAAACAAACAAAACCACAGCTCATTTCCCTAGGTTTTCATTATCTTGGGAGTTTTTCAGAAAACCAATCTCAAACTTTAGATGCATTCTCCAAAATCTACTCTTTGCAGTTACAGACCTGAGCAAGACCTTCATGAAGGGCGGGAACGCAGGGACAGTGGGTAAAGCCAGGTGTCTAGGCCAAGGTGACTCCACCACTTCCTGCCTACCTGATCTTGGCACCCATTTACAACCTCAGCAAGTCGGGAGTCAAAGAAACACTCCTGAGGGTAAACAAAGGATAAAGTGTTTCTCTCACTGTCTCACTATCCAGTCGGGCACGCAGATCCCCTCCACAAACGCCTCTTCTGAAACCCTCTGCCATCTGGTAAGATTGAGTCCCTCCTTCCTCAGCTTCGGCGTGAATTTTATATTCTGGTCACTGGAGGCGGGGTCATGTCTCTCCACCTGCCTCAGGACAAACCACAGTATCCGTGTGTGTATAGCAAGGACTATCTGTGTACAGCAGGCAACCGACTCTTTCCTCCTTTCAGCCCTTCCCAATCAGCACACCCTTCACCTGGGGAGAGCCCCACGGAGCCAGTCCATGAAAGCAATGCTCATGCCTCACTAAGTATTCCCTGGAGACTTGAACAGAAACTGCTGGGAGGACACAGAAGAAAGAACGGAGATAAATGTTTATTTGGGGTTTTGTTTTACTTTTGTTTGGGGGGTTGTTTGTTTTAAACAAAATCCTTCCACCTTAAGCTTGTTTTCATCATCTCACTGAGACAGCCTGTGGTGCTTTTCATAAAAATCCAGGGGCAGGCTTTCTGCTCCTGTCAAACCTAACCCAGTTACAACTTGCCCATCTGTTGATTTGACTGTAATGCCAGGATTCTCAAACGGCGATACGCTTGCTTACTGGCTCTGAATTTACTTATGTAAAATAAATTTATCCAACACTACAACGAGATGCAGATCCTCCTGGCTTTGGTTGCCCCAACTTTTCCCAGCTGCAAAAAAAAAAAAAAGGCGCTCCGCTAAGCCTGTTACCAACATGATGCTTCTGGTATTTGAGGGAGCAGAACTTTTCTAAAGAAAAATGGTCAAACTGAAGCTAAAACTCACTGTTTATAAAATACATTTTTTTCCTTTGTTCTTAATGTTCCACTTTTTGAAATTAAAATTTAGTATTAAAAACTGCATTTTTGATTTTTTTTTTGAGAAAGAACTTAAAGTCTATTGAGTAAGGAAGAGGAATCTGAAAGGGCTTGGGGAAGGGAAAGAATATGACCAAAATATATTTAAAATTAAAAACTGTTTTAAATAATAATTTTAAAAAACCTGCAGAGGATACTTTTTTATTTGCACAATCATTGTTTCTAATCTTTGACTCATTTTTAAGCAAACTCCAAAAATAAATGATGGGACTAGCAGCGTTTTCTGAGTCTAATCTGTTTCATTCCTTAACAACAACAAACATGACACCCAACGCGCTTCTCATTCTAAGCACATCCCACCAAATGAAAAACCTAACCAGTCCACTAAGAGAAAAACACTGCGTGAGGCCACACCCCAAACTTTACCCACTGCACTTCTTTTGGGATCAGGATTTGCCACAGGAAAGTACTTTCATGAACTTAAGCAATAAATATCATAATTTATCATCTCTTGAACTAATTTCTCTCCCCAAACAGACGCTCTTGGCCACGGGGCAGGAGACTATAATAAACTTAATTGTTTTATATATCCTGAGGCACAAAAAAAAAAAAAGAAAAGAAAAAAGAAACGTGTGTGTGTGTGTGGTACCGGGACAACTTGGGATGCAAATAGCAAGGCTTAAGAATAGCAGATCTTGACTCGAAGGGAGACCTGGCCGGCCGATTTAAGCTACCACTGCCAAACAAGGGCAAGATCTCCTTCGTCAATCACCACCTTAAAACCATTAACTTTGCTCGTCTAGCTCCCTGGCAGGCGCGGAGCTAATACCAGAGCCATTTCCATAAGTGGCTGCTAGCGAAACGCATCCCAAGTTGCACTGAGAGCACTGAGCGAGCGCGCCGGCGCTGCCCGGAGTCCCGAGGGGCGGGAGCAGCGCACTTCTGCAGCAGCCGCGCTCCAGCCCCACCTCGCGTCTCTGCACAGCCTTTCTCCAAACTTCGGCATCCGAAAAGCGACCCCGGACCGGGGACAGTCGTATCGGTGACCGGCAGGCCAGCGGCTTGAGAACAGTTTGCTGTCTGCACCGTGCACCAGCAACTTCGTGCCGGCCACTCGTGCCCTCCGCGTCGGGAGCGGACGGGAGGAGTGGGCCAGGAGCAGGGGCGAGCGCAGACCGACGGCTCCGCTCCGGGGTGCGCAGGCTGTCGCACCCACCTCGGCGAAGGCCCCGGTGACTGACAGGCGCTGGGGGCGCAGCCCCGCCTGCAGCCCGTGGACGCCGCGCACAGCACAGCCGCGGTCCTCCGCTCCGCCGGGGACGGCAGGGCCGGGCGTCGCGAGCAGAGCCTCCCCAGCGCGAGCGCAGCCGCAGCCCCGCCGCCCTGCCCCGAGCCCCGCGCCCCGTGCCCGCTGCCGCCCCGCGCCCGCGCTCACCTGCCCGGGTCGCCCGCGGCTGCTCAGCCTCCTCAGCCACCGCAGCCCGCCGCGAGCGTCCACCGCGCCAAGCCCCGCCCCACCCCGCCCCGAGAGGCGGGGCCAGGGCGGCCGCTCGTCTCGCGAGGCTTGACTCCTGGGTGTGTGTTTGTTTTTTTTAAAGGGGTCGTCTCTGACGTCATACGCACCAGGCGGAAGTAGTCTTCTGGCGTCAAATCCCGCCCCTCCCACCTTCGCTGGTGGTCCAGGGTGCTGAGCTGTCTCTACTAGGCTGTCTGGCGTCCTTGCCTCCTGGCCTTTTCTGGGTAGAACTGGTTCTGCCTTACCCTGAGAGGGCCCAGGCGTGCTGCAGAGGCACTCACCGCCCTCCGCACTTCTGTGGTCATGCTAAGACAGTTAAGGGGGGAGATCACTATTTTTTGCAGTTCTGTAACTTCCATGTCTCCATGACTGGACCGAATGACTTAGGAGTTCGGATGTGGGAAGACCACAAGAAACTTGCCAGCATACATGAAACGTTTGCTGACTTACCCTGAAAATCCTAGAACATCTGGCAACATAAAGTAAAATAATAGGATGGGAAATTGCCATCGCTGTCTTCCCTTCCCTCCTCATCGAAGACAGACGGGCTTTGGGACCCAGGGGGTGCCTGAAAGTGAACATAGAGCCACCACTGTTCACTGTGTGTCCTACACACACGTGTGATTAACGTATGGATCCTGCATAGTAAGGGATAGTAATAGATTTCAGCAACATCATCTGGTCCGCCCTCATCTTTAAATCAACAGCGTTCACTCTACTCTAAAGCCAGGTACGGTGGCTCATGCATGTAATTCCACTACTCAGGAGGCTGAGGCAGGAGCTGCAGCAAGTTTAAGACCAGCCTGTGCTACACACTGAGTCTGAGAACAGCCTGGGCTACACACTGAGTTTGAGCCCAGCTGGGACTACAGAATGAGACCCAGTCTTAACAACAAAAAAAAAAGCAAGGCCACACTTGTCATGATTTATCCAGACTGCCATCTACTCTTGGTACTTGGGGCTATGATGAAATAGAATGAGGGCTGCTGGAACCCAAGCCTCATGCTCTAGTAGCTGAAGGCACAACTCATGGCTGGCCGGGAGCTTAGCTTACACCTCACTGACACTCCACACCTCCTGGGAGTAGCACACTGGGGGAGGTGAAAGAGTTCTGGGCTACTCAGTATGGCGTCCGATTTAAAACTTATGAATCATTTATTTCTGGAATTTTCCACTTCATATTTTTAGAATATGGTTGACTGCGGGTGGCTGGGACTGGAGGAAGTCCGTCTAGATAGCCAGAGAAGAGGCTGCTGTAGTTGGAAACCACTTTCCCACAGGATGACACAGGGGAGTGTTTTGGGAAAGTAACACAGTTTTTTTTGGGGGGGGATAAATCCGGTCTTTTAATAGAACAAATAAAATCATTCCCAGTCACTGCTGACAAATTCGTCTCTTAATATAAACATTGGAATTGTATGAAATACCCCTTAGCGTTTGCACTATTAAAACAGTGTATGAAGTAGGAAATTTTCACACAAGGGCTAGAGAGATGACTCAGAGATTAAAAACGCTTGCTGCTCTTGCAGAAGACCAGAGTTAGGTTCCCAGCATCCACCGAAGATGGCACACACTGTAATTCCAGCTCAGGGAATCTGAAATCTTCTTCAGTCACTATGGGCACCTACATGCATGTGCATACAGAGAGAGAGACAAGTGTATCATAAATAAAAACACCTAAACTTTAAAATATATAGCAATTGAGGGCTGAAGAGATGGTGCTGTCTCTGAAGGGCTTCCCCACAAGATGAAGACCTGAAAATTAGGATCCCTGGTACCCATTTTTAAAAAGCCCTATTTGTAACCTTAGCCCTGGGGAGGTAGGGGTAGCAATAGGCAGAATTCTGGAGCTTATTGCCCGGCTGACTCAGCCAATCCAAGCTCAAGGTTCATTGAAAGATCCTGTCTCAAAAAATAATGTGAACAAACAGGGGTGTAGCTCAGTGGTAGAGCATTTGCCTAGCAGGCGCAAAGCCCTAATTCAGTCCTCTGTGTGAGGAACGAAACAAAACATATTTCCCCATAAGTCTGGGAAGGCGGCTCAGCGGTTAAGAGTAACAACTGCCCTGGCAAGAGGAAAGGTTGCTTCCCAGACCTCTTCATTGTGTGCCTCAGGACACTCCTGCTGTAACTTAGGCGCCAGGGTCTCTGGTGCCCACTTCCTGATCCCACAGGCAGCTACACTCACCTGACATGCGTAAAACCCTAAGGAAAGAATCATAGCATTATTTCATTCTCTCTCTCTCTCTCTCTCTCTCTCTCTCTCTCTCTCTCTCTCTCTCTCTCTCTCATATATTCTGTGCTTTTTCATGCACAGCTTGAGAAAAGTAGTCTAGTATTCAGTGTATGTATGAGGAAATTGGTTCCATAGTCATACAGTCACATATATATATATGCATACCAACTCAAGTGTGTAGGATCAAAAATATTTTATGGTTTGCTTGATAGCAAATTTGAGTTTCCAAATATATATGCTTTTCCTCAACACTGTGGTAAGGTGAACTAATCTAGAATGTTTGGCAAGCATAAGTTTGGCCTCTAGGTAGCTTGAGATCATTCTAAACAACTTCCCTTAGGAGGTCATTGATGTTATCCGAACCGAAACATTTCAGAGATATGCACCTCTTGAAATTCTGGTGAATTCTATGGATCACCTTTCCAAGTAATATTCTAAAATGTCCTTCAGAAATGTATCTAAACCGGGCGGTGGTGGCACACGCCTTTAATCCCAGCACTCAGGAGGCACAGGCCAGCGGATCTCTGTAAACTGGGGGTCAACCTGGTCTACATAGTGTGTCCCAGGACAGCCAGGGCTACACAGAGAGACCCTGTGTCAAAACAAAACAAAAAAGTCATCGAGAGGTTAAGACTCTCAACATAATAACTCCTAAGGAGTAGAATCCTGCCTATAATCTTGCAAGTAAGTTTAGAGGCAGAATTTTGTGTTGCAGCCCCTGGCAACAGCTGGTACCCAGTCTGGCAGCACCAGATTCAACTGAGTCATGCTAGGCCCTTTACTACACAAGTCTGGAATAATAAATGATTTTGATTTTGTTTCCCAGAAACAGGGTTTCTCTGTGACGCCCAGGCACAGAGAACTCACTCTGTAGTTCTTAAATGCAGAGATCTCCTTGCCTCTGCCTCCCAACAGCTGGGATTAAAGTTATGAGCTACTCCACAAGGCAATAATTTGTTTGAAATTACAAAGTTTTGGGGGTAATTTGTTACACAGGTGTAGATAACTGAACACTTTATGCAGAGTTCTTTGTTAATGTCTCAAGAACATCCTTGGAGTCAGGCGGTGGTGATGCATGCCTTTAATCCCACCACTCAGGAGGCAGAGGCAGGTGGATCTCTGTGAGTTTGAGGCCAGCCTGGTCTACAAGAGCTAGTTCCAGGACAGGCTCCAAAGATACAGAGAAATCCTGTCTCAAAAAAACAAACAAACAAAAAATGCTTGATGTTGAAGGGACTCTTTAGCAGTTAAGAGCATGTTTGGCTCTTGCAGAAGACCCACATCCACTTACCAGCACCCATACGGGGAGGCTCACAACTAACACCAGCTCCAAGTGATCTGACACCCTCTTCTGGCCACCATGGGCACCTGCACTCACATGTTCATACACATACACACATGCAGAGAGAGAGAGAGAGAGAGAGAGAGAGAGAGAGAGAGAGAATTAAATATAAACAAATCTTTTTTAAAAAAATCCTTTTAAATAATAGTTCATTTGTGGGACTTCTAAATTCTATTTGTCTGTCTGATTATCTGTTTGTCTACCAATCTGTCTATCTATCATCTATCATCTATCTATCTATCTATCTATCTATCTATCTATCTATCTATCTATCTACCTATCTATCTATCTCTCAGTTAATAACCCCAGGTGAGGAATAATATTCTGTGGTCATTGCTAACCTTATTTTCTGGTGTTTTAATATGGATTTTATGTTCTTTCTCTACTCTTTCCTCTTCCCCTCGTCTATGCTAAATTAACATGGAATATGTAAATCAGTTGATTTTTATGTGACTATGACTCAGACTATTTGAAATGTTAAAATTCGCTCTTTAGAGACGTCAGCTCTTCTAAAAATCTACACACTAAGAAAGTTAATGAGGGAGTTTCCTTTAGTGGTGAGTGGAGTTTCTTTCCTTTTGTTCTGCCATCCTGCTCAGTGGCTCTAAGCACAACTGTGACCCCTTTGGCCAGACGTTAACTGTGTATCTAGTTGTTCAGCTGATCAAACTCTCGGGAGTGAAGAAAGAAGGCAGATGGAGACTGTCTCAAGGGGCTGCAAGATGGCTCAGCAACTAAAGGTTCCTGCTGCCAGCCCTGGCAACATAAAGTCTGATCCCACATGGAGGAAGAGGAATGTCTCTGACTTATGCCCAGGAGCCGCCCAGATGCCACCTGGACATCAAGAGAAAGTCCAGTGTGGGGACACCTAACCGAAGTGCTTGCCAGCATCTTTGCTTACAGGCAGAGGACAGGACAGACCACAGGCTCACGTGTGAGCCTCAGTCCCGCGCTGGAGGTGCTGTTTGGGAGTCTGAAGAATCTTCAGCACATGGAACCTC